ATTTTTGTATTTATTTGGCTTTAATTTACAATTAAAATATATTGTTATCATTGAGGTGATCATTATCGTTGAGGTGATAGGCCCGTGCGGAGCACGGGCAATTTCATTGAAATTCTGCTACAGCAGCCGTTGGGCCCGAGTAAGACCGCTGCGATTGCACTATCGCCTTACCAGCCCGAATGGAATCGGTCCTTCTCCCCGTTGCCCGACGTCACCCTGCCACTGTGGAGTAGCAAGATCGCGGGGCACTGAAGGCCGGACGCGATGAAAGTCCCGGCACACGATGACTGCCGGGCCAGCCCTGAATCCTCATTCGCAGGCACGTATGCAGGGCACCGCAATGGCCTCGCCTTCGCACCGCGAAGAGCCGGCAACAGAGATTCGCTCTCAGCATATGTCGTGAGGTACAAGTCGCAATCGTCAGCTGCTGCCCTTGTCTAACGCGAGCGCTACTACAGTTTGTGCGACAATGCGATCCAGAATGGCTAGTCAGCGGCGGCCTTGCCTATCGTGCCTCCTCCTCCTCGGAACGAGCATTGGACACACACGCCTTGTTTCGGCGGCTTCGGGAGATGATAGTTCTCAGGAGCCGTTGTGGTCGTTCGTAGACCCTTTGATCGGTACTGTCGGCCCACGCCCTGGTTCCGCGATAGCAGGTGGAAACTCGTTTCCGGGTGCGAGTCTACCATGGGCAATGGCAAAGCCTGGAATCGACACGAGCTACATCGGACTTCCAAATGGTAGTGCAGTGGACGCCAATGCTGGATACACACCTTTGGGCAACGTGACGGCTGTGAGCATGACCCATGTCAGCGGATCTGGAGGAGCACCAACGTGTCAGTTCCCTGCTTCTGCAATCAATTATCAGTATTGACAAGATATAGACGGGTTGGTATCGCAGATGCCTCTCCTTGGCAATCTAGCCTCCGTGAACCTCGCCGACAATATGACCTATGCTCAAAATCGTAGTCTTGATTTCGAATCAGCAACTGTAGGTCTATTCACTACGACTCTACAAAATGGTGTCAAGATCGAGATCACTTCAGGGAACCACACAGGATTCATACGATACACGTTTCCTTGGCTGGAAGCTCCTTCGAACCGTTCATCCGCCTCGAGTGGTGATACAATGATGGCAGTGGCTAATGCAACGAACGAATACGATGCGCACGTACTTGTAGACCTCACGCACGTACTACCAGCCTACTCTTCGATGGCCTACTCCCAAAAGTTCTTGCGTGGGGAGCTGCATGTCCCATCTTCTTCCGACGCATTGCCGTCATACCATGGGTCTGCATCCTACACGGGCGGCTGGCCACAGCCTGATTCTCACAGGATCCATTTTTGCGGAAACTTCAGTGTCCCTGCAAACTCCATGTTAACCCCGACGTCAGACTATGTACAGGGAGAGCACTCGAGTATTGCCTCTGGTGCTGGTACATTCAGTTGGCAATACAACCCTTTCTCGCCACCGACGATTCGGCCAGTGCCCAGGGGATATCCTGATGTGCGATCCTACGCTGGGAGCGGAATGGGCATTGGTGCTTTGTTTAGCTGGTCGCCAACAGAGACGCAAGTTAACGGTACCCTTACCCTTGAAGCCAAACTGGGCATCTCGTACATTAGTGCTAGACAGGCGTGCTCCCACGTGGAAAACGAACTTCCTGATGCAAAGTCTTTCGAGGACGTAGTAGAGCAAGCGAGGCAAGAGTGGGAAGCTAAAGTGCTAAGCAAGATACGAATCGGAAACGATGGCGATGCGACAAGCAACAATGCGACGTTGAAGCGGATGCTGTATTCAGCCATGTATCAGACAGGCCTGATGCCAACCGACAAAACGGGTGAGAACCCTGTGTGGGAGTCAAATGAGTCAAAACCATACTACGACGATCACTACGTACGTCCACCGCTCGCCGACAAAATTGTGGGGACTAATTGCTACAGACACTGTGGGATACGTACCGGACCTTATTACCCCTGTACCACCTGATCTTCACAAAACCATACTCCCGTATTCTATCTGGGCTTATCTCAATATTCACCGAAGAGGGCTACCTACCCGCCGGCCGTGCAGCGAACTGGAATGGCCGGGTTCAAGGTGGCACGCACGCAGACATCGTCTTAGCAGATGCTTTCGTAAAAAGCATTTGTGCATTGAATGGCGAGACAGGCCGCGGCGAGCTTGACAGTACAATCGATTGGCAGGAAGCTTACAGAGCAGTAATGAAAGACGCAAGTGTAATGCCTGAGCGCAACGTCGATCCGGTGGCATTCGACGGGGCCACCAAGGAAGGAAGAGGAGCATTGGATGACTACCTCTCCCTCAACTTCATCACGCGTCATCACACCCGCAGCATCTCTCGGGGCGTCGAGTACCCGCAGAACGATTTCGCGATTTACAGTATGGCGCAAGGACTTGACAAGCCTCAAGAAACGGTTGATCGGATGCGTGAGCGAGCGAGCTGGTGGCAGAACCAATGGAATCCAACGGCGACCACCACCCTTGATGGCATCGGCACATTCACAGGCTTTCCAGGCGCAAGGAATGCGGACGGCACGTGGAACCTCACTGCATATGACCCGTTAAGTTGCGGAACTTGTGGATGGGACGCCGACATATACGAGGCCAAGGTTTGGGAGACTGCATTCAGTGTCGCCCCGCACGACATGGCCAAAGTCATCGATCTCATGGGCGGTGATGAGGCTCTCGTTCGTCGGCTGGATGCTAGTTTTGTCCCTGGTTTCGGCACATCGGTTGGCGTGAACAACGATGCTGGCTCCACCCTCTTCAATCCCGGCAACGAACCATCATTCGCAACGCCGTTCCTCTACAACTATGTCCCTGGGATGCATTGGAAAACAGTCAATCAGACACGAGCCACGGTTGACGCCTTCTACAGCGACGCGCGCAATGGGTACCCCGGAAACATCGACGGCGGCGCGCTACCCAGCTGGTTAATCTTCAATCTTGTAGGGATGTACCCCGTGCCCGGCCAACCGATCTATCTCCTCTCTGCCCCTCGCTTCTCATCACTGAATATCTCACTCTTCAGCGGAACGTCAGTAGAGACTTTCTTGACCGTGTTGACTCGCGATATGTCGAGCACGAGCTACTACCCGCAAAAGGTCACTTGGAACGGAAAAGGGCTCGACCGAGCTTGGCTGAAGCACGAAGAAATTGCTCAGGGAGGCGAGCTTGTATTCTATATGGGTAATAAGCCTGTGAGATGGGACGTTGGCGAACGTCCTTGGTCTCTGTCGGCATGGCCATAATTGTAACCTCTGCTTTTCCTTCACAACAGTTGATCAGGTGCAGCGTCAATGCACGATGCGGATAGAACAGCAGGGTGAAGGTGTATCTTGCCGGTTTTTGCTCTATGTTATTGTGAAAACGTGCTTTTTGATATCAGTATTGCAAGACTACCTTTAATAATGTCTCTCTACCTAGACCGTCCTGCAAACAAATCCCAGCGACTCGCTGACTTACTAAAGCCTCATCGACAATCTCAAGAACTACAAGCGCTTCTCGTTGAATACTATTTACGCATCTAGGCTAAGAGCGAAGTTATGGTCTAAGAGACACGCAAGGAGTGTGTGGCGAGGGAACACCTTATACCTAATTACGCATGGCTGTACAACTATTAGTTAGCTTCATGGAAAGCTTTGTGTTGTAATTATATGTTCATACTACTGACGCAGCGATTAGAGTCTCAAGTATCAGCAAAGGCACGCACCCTGGTCTGACCCCTTCTACAAGAACATTCGTTTCGAGACACTACCAAATCCTCTGCGAACTGCTACCTCTTTCACCACTAAACAGTCCCCCGAGAATCCACCGGAAGTCTCCTACAATTCCTCCTATATGCTATATTTGAGATGCAAGCAATATTTGCTAAGAAACACTACACAACATTATCAGCTTCACTCTCTTGCATTCTAAGGATGTAGTTAGCTTGTACCACTCTGAAACCTAGTCGTCGGTGAAGCCCACGTCTTCGATGACGAAATCAGCTCTAGCACCGTGGCTGAGGACGCCGCGGTTTCTATTAATTGTTCGCTCCTATACCTCGCCTGGCGTTGGGATATCCGGCGGAGCGGGAAGGTGGGGGCTAATCTGGACTGCCTCAAGAACGTGCTGTGTGTAGAAGAACAGGATAATTGCTAAGTCGCGCATGGAAACTGGCTTAAGATGCCGTGAAAAGACGCAATTTCCGTCGGCGGTAGATTGATTTTGATAATCTAGCTGTTCGTCATTGCCGACGCGGTCCAATCCTAAAGAGATAACCTACCCTATGTGTCCTACGGGTTCTTCTGGTTTGCCCTTCGCAAGACTCTCTACGTAGATAAAGCGTAGTCGCATTATTGATGATGGGATAACAAGAGATGATTGCCAACGCTGGTTGCGGATTCGCCATACTGAGTGTCGGGATGCTTGTTGTGAGACGTATAGGTGGCGTTTGGCTACGCGGCGAGATCACGCAGCACGACCAGATGCGGTGAAAATGTCTTGAGCTGCTGTGTCCGGCTTAGGAGACGACCTCCAATGTGGACCGATATTCTCAGCATTCTGTATTACCAGACTTATCCAGGATATACCCATCCGGAAACTGTCATTCACTCTGGTTTCATAAGTGAATAGCGAAGCTCCTCGAACAGTGTCTCCTGCCTCGCGTACTGCATCGTAGTTTGAAAGCGACTCCGCTTCGCGGAAGAACATAGATCTTGCAATCTGCACGCTGTCGAAGCTCAAAAGCACCGATATTTTCGGATCTAAAAACTGATCATAGGAATAAGGCGAGAAAGTCGCATCACTGTATCTAAAGACAGGAGACGCTGCAGGAGGAAACAATAATTTTCATTCCATGAGAGACGAATGGGATGGCCTATAATATGAACAACGACAGCTCTGTCTCTCACGGACTGGCCTAGAGGTCGGATTCAAAGCAGTCAGAGAAAATCGACTCGTCCAGAATCGGGAGAAGTTAGGAGCAAAGAGGACATATTCACAGACAGCACAAGCAGAGAGCGTTGCATATTCAGCAAGTTGATCTTAACGGATTATGGACTTTGGATGTTGTCTAGAGTCAAAGATGCCAAAAATGAATACGCTACGTCGGCTCCAAATTTAACCAGGCATGTGTACTCAATGACAATTGGACTGGTGTTGAAGATTGCATCATGAGGTTAGAGGCGCCCTGTTGGTTGGACTTCGATATGCTTCTCGGTTCGCCCTACGGCGGTACTATGTGCTTATGCTTCCCGCATCCAATGTATATGTACCTACCCCCGCAGCAAATGAGCACTCGCACACTCTGTTGATTCGGTGCTCACAATAGCGACAGATGCAGCAAAATGGTTAGAGTGACATCACTAATCCTCTGGTACTCTTTTGTTTAAAATTTCAATAAGAAATATCAATTATTATTAGCAGTCTACTAAAATCTTCTCAAACATAGTTTTTCTAGGCGAAGAGAAAACTACATGTAGCGCATATACTAACACGCTTGCACTCTAATCGAGATCGACTTAAGGGAAATGTAAGCATTAACCCCTACTTAAGACATGTATTTAGACGAAGGCGCGGTCTAGGTTGCTAAAAAAATTATCGGGCCTAAAAGGCACGTTCGCAGATCCAAAGAGACCACCAGGTGTAAGAGCTGCGCGCGAGGCCTGGGGCATAGCATCCCAGTCGCTAATCCAATAAGTGCGGCCAGGAGTGTTCGTAAACTGCAGGGCATGATTCAATGGGAATCTTGTAAAGTATTCCACTTTGACATTGTTGCCCTGAATGGGTGGACTCGTGGTTCTCTGGTAATTACCATGGGCTGATGCTGCGGCACCGAGAATTCGGGGGTTGGCGTTTGCGGGGTTGTCGAGCCAGACGACAACGCTTTCCCAGTCGTGGCGGTGTCCACCTACAACATTGCCGGCGATAGGTTGGTCCTTGGGCCAGTACCATGCGTACATGATAGCAAACTTGCCCCTGTGCCAGGCAGCCCGGGCATAGGTTTGGCCCTTGTTCCGGTCGCGGCATCCACCGTCGGTACTGCCAGTGTCCTGGAGACCTCCACTGCAATCGAGATATGTGAGGACTGGAATTCTAGATACATCATCATGTAGACTTACCTAGTGTTGCCATTATCGTCAACGGCCGTGTATGGCTGGCAACCGTGGGCGATGTGCAGCAAAGGCTGGAACCTTTCGATCGCCCGGCCAATCGCTCCTGGTTGTAAGCGAGTCCGGATTGGGTTGAGGGAGTCGTGATTGACTACAGCGCGAGCATCGATTTCAAGCGACGTGGGAGCTGCCAGGATGCCTGAAGCTGCTACAAGAGCAGACAAAATCGTGGTAAGATGCATGTCGGTAGTTGATAATAGTGGACGGACAGAGGATACTAGGTTAAAGGTTGTATCAAATGAGACAAGGAGTATAATGATATAGCCTGTGTAAAACAGCGTGATAGCTCTAGAAGGCATTGATGACGCTTTATATATTCAGATATTGTGCACCGCGGATAATGCCGTGCAGCTATCCCAAACCCACCCTCTCATGGTGTTGCTTGGTTTGAGTACTTAGTAGTAAGCAGAACTCCTAAAAAGTAGGCTATAGGCGGGGTACTTACCAGATATGCGTTATCACGGACCAGAGAGTGATACCCTAAGGCCTAACTTAGAGATGAATCTGCCTACTGCTTATATCAATACCTATAGTGTAAGATTAGTCTACCTTGGCACTCATGGATACCCTCGCGTCCAATGTCATGACTGAATCGCGTTGGAAGCTACCACGAAAGAAGACCACACGTGGTATAGATTTGGTTAACTTTAGCCGCGTAGAAGGATTCTTGGGTCTTACGCACGTACTAACTTGCGGCGTTATTACCAAATAGCACCGCAAGTTGCTGATAGGGAAGACAGGTTGATGCTAGCAAAGCGGCACCACCCACATATCACATGTGATGCGATTATCGAAAACATGATGATGTGCAGAAAGCTATGAAACTGTCCTATACATGGTCAGCTTGCTCCACGTGGGACTGCACTATTTCTCTGGTCCTAGTCCATACTAACGCAGGTGAGTGATGACAGCGGGTCGTGCAATGGTTTTAGACTGACGCTCTAATATAGAAAATTTAGAACCAGTGCTAAGGCTTACATTCCTGGCGTGACACGTTCGTCGTCCACATCGTTTGCGTGCTGGCTGGGCGACCTGTCGTCCAACTCTTGCCCTGTCGACCGTAATCCTGGCGGCAATGCTTCTGGACCCTGTTCATGTGATGATATAGACTCCCAAATAATGTGCACTGCGATAAATCACGGAGCATAGTTAGATAAGGAAATAGTGAAGAAACAGGATCCGGACATACTACCATATCCGCGAACGTGACCAGCATATTTAATGTGATAGTTTCTTGCACAGCCTGAACAATCTCTCGTGGCATGATTACGATATACTCTTGATGCTTTGTGGCTGGATGAGTCTTTCATTCGCTCTTCAGCATGCCTTGATAATAAATTCTACTAATGACTTTACGCGAACATTGTTTCTACGGAAGGATATATTGTTCTATACGCCTGACAGTACAAAATCTGGGTTATGTACTGTCTTCTTCTTCATATAATCGTTGTTTCTGATCCTTGAAGCCAATTGTATTTGATCCGATACTTTCAAATCTATCCTGAATATGTCCAAATCATGAGGCATATGGTTGTCGATAATGCCTGACGCGTAGCACCGCTTCTTCCAGGATTTAAAAACACAACTCTTTCTTCAGCAAGCCACGACTCTTCTTGCATCCTCTTGGAGATACTTGTGCCTCTTCTTGTGCTCTAGCCGCAAGGCCTTTGTTATGAGTAAACAACTAGGCTTTCTTTACTTGGAGGTAGTGGGACTACACAACATAACCAAACACGCTAGCCTCGGCTAATTTGTGAATATTCTGCACATACTGATGTTAAATGACCATGTGCTTCACTGATATTCCGAGCATATGAGGATACTGCCGTCCAAGAAGAATGGGCTGCCTGCAGGCCCATCGCTGCATTCTTTTTCTCTTGTGAGGGCACTAGTCAAGCTTCAAGAATTATTCTCTGGCAGATGCATAGTTTTCCGCACATCACATATTTCTGAACTATGTCAGCGTAGAACCAACAGCTCAGTCCCGCGTGCAGATTGTCCTCGGCAATGTAAGCTATCCAGGGTGGCCGATTCATAGTCGATTTCTATCATCGGTGCTGGAAAGACACGCCAAAATGTCCCGCCGTATTCCCTCC